CACACACACACACACACACACACACACACACACACACACACACACACACGCACACACAGACACAAAGAGGGATCAGGTGGTGCACACGGGACGGGTCGCGAGACGCGAACAGCCGGCGCGACGTTTTTTCACACCATTCGGCCCTGTCAAGTGGGAAACAGGATCCTGTGCCTTCAACTAGAAAAGAAAGAAAAAGAAGGAGACTGCTGGCCAGCGCGGCCCGCACTCGTCATAATCAGACGAAAGAATGAACACTCACTGGGTCATGTAAGGTGGAGCCCCTTAGAACTCTCCAATTCTTTTGCCAGAAATCCCAGTATCCCCGTCTTTATTGCCGACGCCAGCATCCCAAGCGTCTCTCTCTGCAATGCTATATCCTCCCTCATCGCATCTCGAACCTCCTCCCATGCCTTTTCGGCGGGAAATTGCTCAAGATAGCACTCATCTAAGATTCCTCCTCCTCCTTCTCCTCCTCCTCCTCCTCCCCCTCCTCCTCCTCCTCCTCCTTCTCCTCCTCCTCCTCCTCCCTCGCTCGTCATCTCCGTCATGAGAACACCAACACTACTGCCCTTCTCCACCTCGACCTCCATCTCCATCTCCATCGGGATCGCGTTCGCGGTCGCGTTGCCATCCTCTTCACTCGCAGTCAATCGACGTCTCTTCGGGGAAGGAGAGGACAAATCATCGTAGTCGTGACCGGGACCGGGACCGGGACCACTCCTATCGCTATCAGTGAAAGACATGGAGGAGCTGTAATCACAATCATCATCCGAAAATCCATCGGCTGGACTGCCTGACACGTGGCCAGTGTCGGGATCGGGACGCGGTGACGATGACCGACCCCTCGTCTCCCGCCCACTGCTGCTTCCCTTCCCGTCGCATTGGCGCGCTTCTTCATCACCTGACAGCAGCAACACGTGGCACGCTCCCCCATCACCTGACGACACGTGGCACGCTCCCTCATCTTCTGATGACACGTGGCACGCTCCCCCATCACCTGACGACACGTGGCGCTCCTCACGACTTGGAGAAATGCGGGGCGCTCCATCACCTGACACCTTCAGCGCTCTATCACCACCTGACAAGTTGACGTCATCGGATTTCCCCGGGCTCTGATGTGTACGTGCAAGACTGCCTGACACGTGGCCATCACCGGAGAATCCCTCGCGGTTCTCATGTGCACATCCACGACTCACACCTTCTTCGACCTCTGCTAGGGTGTTGTGATGCTGACTGTGCAGTTGCCTCACTGCCACGTGGTCGTCACCTGCCACGTGGTCGTCACCTGCCACGTGGTCGTCATCTGAGACGTGGTCGTCACCTGTAATGTTGTCGTCATCTGATATGTCGCCTGATGAGTGGCCATTACCGGCGGATGACCGTGCGCCGCTGTGATGTGCACAAACTAACAGATTGCCTGACACGTGGCCATCACCTGAAGAACCCTCCTCTTTCTGATGTGCGCATCCGCGGCTGCCTGACACGCGGCCATCACCTGAGCCCTCAGCGTTGTGATGTCCACTGTCACTACTTACACCCCGTCTGACCCCGTCTAGGTCGCCTTCATCGGATGACGACTCCTCACCACCATTCCGATGCGCATGTCCTCCTCTCTCTTCCTCTTCAACGCCTACTCCTCCTGCGTGTACCACGTTCTTCTTCTCATCTTGCCTGTCCGCTCCACTGCCTGACACGTGGCCAATCTCTGATACGTTCTGATTCTGTCTATCCGATCGACTGCCTGATATGTTGTTGTGATCATGCCTCTCCTGTCTACTACCGCCTGACACGTGGCCAATACCTGACACATTCTGGTGGTGCTGACTGTTCGCTCCGCTGCCTGACACGTGGCCAATCTCTGGCTCGTTGTGAGGCTGTGTATCCGGTTGATTGCCTGACAGGTTGTTGCAATCCTGCTTATCCACTCGACTGCCTGCCACGTGACAACTGCCAGACAAGTGGTCATCCTGCTTGTCCGCTGGACTGCCTGACACGTGGCCACTGCCTGACAGGTTGTTGGGATCCCGGCTGTCCGGTGCAGAACCTGACACGTGGCAAACGCCGGGACCCGCCAGATTATGGTAGCCTGACACGTGGCGACTGCCAGACAAGTGCTCATCCTGCTTGTCCGCTGGACTACCTGACACGTGGCCACTGCCTGACAGATTGTTGGGATCCCGGTTGTCCGGTGCACTGCCTGACACGTGGCCAACACCAGGACCCGCCAGTTGATGGTGAGGATGATGATGATGGTGGCCGCCGACAACCCCGAACCTACGGCTGTCATCCTCCGCCGCCGCCGCTGCGCGATACACCTGGCGCGCAGCACCTATCGCCTCAAACCAATTACGACGCATATTGAAAGGTAGGTTTGATTGGCAGCGCTGTGATGGGTTCATCTTCCAGTAGCTGCGCCGGCCATTTTGGCGGGAATCGTACTTAATTACCCGTTGAGACCAGCGGTTGAGATTTCTCCATCTCGTCCGACATTGCCTCCATGATCGTTTGAAGCCTTCAGATTTCATAGCCTGCTCGATTGCCCGCCACGTGGCGTTGCTGGTCCTCTCCTTCTCCCCGCCAAAAACCCCGCCCCCCCCCCAATTACTTCTAGGGTTAACAAGGAACCCCACCCTCCCCGTCTGCTTGTCCCCCAGCAGGAGTCTAATCAAGACCATCGTTTCATAATCACCCCAATTATTGCGACTTCGACGTCTCAAGCGGCCACGTGGACCACCTTCTGCTCCTCCTGCTGCTGCAACCGCAGCTGCACTGTCCCCCTCCACTTGGCGCTCTTCTCCCCTCCTCCCAATCATCCGACGGCGCGATGAGGAAGGGGAGGAGCAATCAACGGCCTCTCGCGACATGACCACGCCATCACGCGCCATTTCATCGACCCCACCGGCTGCTGCCACGTGGCAAACCCGACTTGCGGTATTCATCCCCTGATTATGATGGGAGCTTGCCAGGTCATCACGGCACGCATCGCCCCCTACTTTCCCCCTTACAACTCTCCGTCCATCTCTTTCCTCCTCTCCAGATACAACCAGCACACGACCTCCTCCCTCTCCTCCTCCTCCTTCCCCCCGTACAGCCATCCCTACCTCTCCTTTCTTTCCCTGGCCATGAACACGTGGCAACACACATGTGCCACGTCGGACCCTCCCCTCACTACCACCCTTGTCCTTCTCCTTCTCCTTCTCCTTCTCCTTATCCTTATTCGAAAGTGCATCCCGCGTCCCCCCTTCCTCCTCCTCCTCCTCCTCTTCCTCCTCCTCCTCCTCCTCCTCCTCCTCCTCTGAGATTGGCCGCTGAGCCTCGGCGGCCAGGCTTCCACTGCCACGTGTCCGTCCATCGAAGAAAACACTACTGCCACGTTTCCTTCCCGCCAAATCACTCCCACGTGGCCTCCCACGTGGCCCTACCGCCAAATCACTCCCACGTGTGCGTACCTCACCCCCATCACTCCCTCGAGTCCCTCCATCAACATTACGGCCGCGTGTACACACATTCTCAACGTCACTACCACGTGTCCGTAAATCAACGATCCCGCATGTACCTCGACCATCATCAGGTCCACGTGCAGGTACAAAAACAATCTTACGCGCACCTGCAGCGAATAGACCACCGCCTACATCGCCGCCGCCAGGTGTGCATAAGCCGCCGCCGCTACTGCCGCGCGTGCGCAAGTCAATAAGCCCGCCTGTACCTCGACCAACATCAGAACCACGTGCGGGTACAAAAACAATCTTACTGCTGCCACCCGCTGCAGCGAAAAGGCCACCACCGCCTACATCGCTGCCGCCAGGTGTGCATAAGTCGCCGCCAACGGCGACATCGCTGCTGCTGCTGCCACGTGTCCGCTCACCGTCAACACCCTTAATCATCGACTCATTAGCCACATAATAAGGGGTGGTAGCGTTCGCTGCAGCAGCTGGCCCACGTGTCGTCCTAACGCCCACGCAAGCCGCGTCTGTCCACAAACGTGGTCCCCACCGCTGCTGCTGACGTGTCGCTTCCTGACTTGTTGGCCTCTGACTTGTCAATCGCTGCTCACGTGTCGATCGCTGACGTGTCGGTGGCTGCTGCCGTTTGCGCAGAAGTATATCCAGCCTCATTGCTCTCATCCTGAGCTCTTTGCGCAGCCGCTCCCAAGCGTCATCACCAACGTTGCCATCGAAAAGCATGACAGGCACCCCCATCTGGTCGAGACCGAACAGTATATCCATCATAAAATATTTTATAACATCATTTATATAAAATCATAATCGAAAATTTTAAAAAGGGGGAAAAAAAAAAAAGAACAAGGATTATCTGCATTGTCCTCCTGTGCGATGGCTGCTTCCACCAGAAGCAAGAAGAAGAAGAAGGGTCATCTTCATCCACCTGGTCATCGAACGAGGGCCCGAACCCAGAAACATCAGGGCATGCTGTGTATCCATTGACAGTGTGGTGGGCTGTACACAATCCAGCTGTGGGGTGCACCTACCTTACCTACCAACCCACCCACCTACCTAATCCCAATTACGCGGATGCTTCATTTCATCTTCATCCACCTCCACATCCACTTGGCCCAAGTCCCACTTACGCTGATGCTTCATTTCTGACCGTTGATCTTCGCAATCTACGATCAGAAATTGAAAATTCCGAGAAGTCAGACTTGCCCCTACCTCCCTCCCTCCCTCCCTCCCTCCCTCCTATTTACTATTTACTATTTACCCTCCCCTTGATATGGTGCAAGTTCACCCGTTCCTGTCAGGGCCACCTCCTGTCACTTATACCACATGTTAAGTCCACCCCTCAATCTCTCTCTCTCTCTCTCTCTCTCTCTCTCTCTCTCTCTCTCTCTCTCTCTCTCTCGTCGCTCTCTGCATTCAACGGGAAGAAAACGTTCACGTCCAGAGATATATATGTATATGTATATATCTATATCTATATATATAGATATTTCTCTCCCCATCTAATCCATATTTATACATTTGCTTATACTTTCATCGTCTTTCCACCTGGACTTGAACGCAGGTTTTCATTTCAACAATTCATGGGTGTACCATCTGAGCTAGACCAGTTGGTGTATCTCTGCTTAAATAGTAAACCGCAGATCGGACTTCTCTTTCTGTCAGCCACAGCCAGATGCATCGTCACGATCGCGAGCACGCCCAAAGGACAAAACTTATCCACGTGTATCTTTCCGTGATCTAGTCGAATATTCATTCGCCTTTTTTTTGCACCTTTCGTGAGAGTTGTGCGGCTACCGGTAGGGCCCTATTTCATGCCTTTCGTCTATCTAACGATACAAAGAAGATAAGCATGCCAAAGATAGGGAAAAAAAAAAAAAAGCAGTTAGTGGAAGTGTCTGACATTGATGCGGCTTCATTCCTTCTCTTTTCTGTTTTTTTTTTTTCTTTTTTTTTTTCTTTTATATAAAAAAAAAAAAAAAAAAAAAAAAAAAAAAAAAAAAAAAAAAAAAAAAAAAAAAAAAAAAATCGAAACGCTATCGCGGCCAAAAGCTGCCTGATGCTTCATCATCAAGATCGCGAACATGCCCTCTCTCCCCCCTTCTCTCCCCCATATAGATGCCTCCTCGCTCCTCCCGCCTTAGATGCCTCCTCGCTCCTCACGCCGTAGATGCCTCCTCGCTCCTCACACCTCCTTTTTTTTTGCACCCTTCGTAAGTTGTGCGGCTACCGGTAGGGCCCTATTTCATGTTTTTTTTTGTTTTTGTTTTTTTCTATTTCATGTTTTTCGTCTAATCTGTTGTGTTTAATTGTCGATACGCTATCGATCAGAAGCGGCCTGATGATGCTTCATCATCAAGATCGCGAACATGCCCTCTCTCCCCCCTTCTCTCTTCCCTATAGATGCCTCCTCGCTCCTCACGCCGTAGACGGAGGGAGTCGTTATCATCTCTCCGCTTCGCTATAGCCGGCTCTGTACCTTGAAGTGGCTCCGCTCATTCCAGCTGTGTACTTTGATGATGGATTACCCACACTGCGAGCTGCAACAAAATTAAAAAAAAAAAAAAAAGTATGTCAGAGGGCCGACCAGTAAACAGCCGCGGGAAGACAACAGGCCATGCAGACGAGGAAGCTGTGCGCCCTAACGGCGGCCGACTTTTCTGTTTTTTTTAATTTTTTGGTTCCAGAAAAAAGGAAAGAGGAATGAATGGAAGAGAGATGAAGGGCATACTCAGACTGGGATCTGTATCTGGACGAAAGAATGGCCAGATGCGTCCATCGACCTAATCGAGTGCGAGTAATCATAAACCCTATACTACGAAAAGCGCGAAGCGCAGAAAACGAAAAGCCGAATAAATAACCAAAAAGTTAAGAATAGAATGATGCACACATCATATAATAACCAGGGAAAGGAAAAAAAAAAAAAAAAAGTGAGAAAAACAAAGGAGAAAGAAATAGTGTGCCAAAAACAAAAAAAAGAAGAAGAATAGTGTGGTATAATAATCAAAGGAAAGGCTTTTCGCATTAAAAAAAGAAGAAAAAGAAAAAAAAGAAGAAGAAAGAAAGAATAGTGTGACAAGCAATGGCCCAGTCGCTTTCCAACACGCTCACCAATTTTGAAAAAAAAAATAAAAAAAAATCACACACCCCGATTGGTCCCGGGGACCACCACGTCCCACTTACCCATATTCGTCATTTCTTGCCGTAGTTGAAGAAAAAACAACGGTTGGTATCCCTATATCCCTCATGGCATTGGGCTCCTTATATCCTTCAGGCCATTGGGATCGCGTCCCGACTGCGCTCCAGTCAAATCAGGGGCACAAAATCCCCTCACTCTCTCTGCCACTGCTCTACCAAGCCGATGTCCCAACCCGACTGACAACGGCGCGGAGGAGAGGGGAAGAGAAGGAGGAGGAGGAGGAGGAGGACAACGAGGAGGAGGAGGAGGAGGAGGACAACGAGGAGGAGGCGGAGGAGGAGGAAAGGTCGTACATAATTAGGGTCATGAATTACGGAAAAAAAAGCAATAATCAAATGAAATTAAATTAAATTAAATTTATTCTAGACTTTACGCCTTCCTACAGTATATCGTCGTGTACAACATCTGGTGTGGGTGAGTGATAGTCAAATTAAATTAAATTTATTTTAGACTTTGATTGATTTTCGTCACAGGTACCTTGAGGGCAGTGGTTGGTGGTCCCCACCACCTCAGGGTATCACTGCAGTTGTCAGGCAGTCGTTGATGCTTAATCACAACCGGGGGTTAAGGTGGATTATCACTTACAGTGTACTAATCAGCCGGTTAGGGAATTCTGCAGACTGTTGAGGGTTCACCCTCCTCCTGATGAACCAGTCGGTGAAACTCCAACGAAACAGTTTGCCACAGCACCTCGTTTGTTGTCCTCTTCTCTCCCTCCCTCTCTGCCGACGCTTTAACGGGCGGGCAGTTCTGTTTGACGATATATATATATATCGTCACATATTCTGTTTGACGATATATATATGATGGAAGTGAAATACATATAAAAACGCCACCCGCCTATACGTCGTCGGCCTTGTGATGCGCCTCACCGCGATGACTGAGCTCGACGTCCACGTCATCAACCCCGTCCCGTCTTAACCCGTGCCCGATCCCGCTCCCGATCCCGATCTGAGGAAGTGATGTGATGGTGGGTGCGATTGCGCTTGCAAACGTCCTCTCAACGATCGAAGTGAGCTTAATTTAAAAAAAAAAAAAAAAAAAAAAAAAGAACGAGCAGCGCGCGGCAGAGGTTGCCTGCTGGAAGCCGTTTGGTGAAGGCACTGGATATGGCGAAGACGTCGTCGAATTGTCGTTGACAACAACGGGAAGTAACAGCGATGAACAGAAAATCTCATTGTAGCTCGCTATCGAAGGTGGTACGGCTCATCACACGCAAGCTTTGCGACTGAGCTCCCATGGACGCGATTACAGTCAGATGAGTCCACGGCGGGCCGTCATTGCAGTCAGATTCATTCCGGAAAGCAACCGACAGAACGAGTATGGAATCGGTAAATAAAAGGGCCTCACTCACCCCGCTGCGTAAACATTCTGAATGTATGTGGACGATAGCCCTGTCGCGGTACGTCCTCATCGCCGAATGAACTTACCCACGACACCGAGTGGTACACTAGAACATACGAAAGAAACAGATATCCACGAGTACCGGGCCTACCGCACCACTTGCCATCCGCCAAGATTCTACATGCATCTGGACAGTCGCCATCCGCCGAGATTCTAAATGCATCTGGACAGTCGCCATCCGCCGAGATTCTAAATGCATCTGGACTCGGAATTGTCTGGTTACATTCAAAATCTTGGCCCATGGCGAGCTGTGCAACTACCCCTGACTGTTAGCAAACGGAATCCAGCGGAGAGGGGTAGCTATGCTTGCAGGGATCCCCTTTATAGGCCTTTTTTTTTTTTTTTTTTTTTTACCTCTTCTGTCGTAGAGGCCACATTCCGACCTATGCTGGCACCATCGCACAACAGGTACCCTCGGACTTTTTTGCCGAGCCTTAGACAACCGGTAAGATTCATTCTCGCGGAATGTTCGTTGTCTACCGCGTGGGCGCGGGGAACGCAGCCCTAAGGTAGCCAAAGCAGTGAGACGACGAGCGCATACTCGTGCGCACGCGAGAGAGAGAGAGAGAGAGAGAGAGAGAGAGAGAGAGATAGAGAGAGAGAGAGAGAGAGAGAGAGAGAGAGAGAGTTTTGTTCCATTTGTTGATACGAGAAAGAGCGAGAGATAGAGAGTGAGAGAGAAAGAAAGAGTTTTGCTCCATTTATTGTTAGTGTGAGAGAGAGACGGAGAGTGAGAGAAAGAAAGAGAGATAGAGAGAGAGGGATGGGGAGGGGGCTACCACACACACACACACACACACACACACACACACACACACACACACACACAGAGAGAGAGAGAGAGAGGCTGAATGGCAAAATTGACTTATGGGTCAAATTGTGGCCGCAATCTATTTCACAGTTGGAATGGTTTTTAAAAATTTATTTAGCGTTTTTCCTGGAAAGATCACAACAAAATCTACAAGTACTCTAATTTTCAGATTTTTTCACGCATTCTTCTGAGCGCGAAAACTCATTAAATTTGGAATACTTTTTCGGTTGGCCCACACATGGCTGAGTGGCAAAAATGGAAAATGTGCCAAATCGGCGCAACAATTATTTTGCGGTCTAAATGATTTTTTGAAAATGTTATAATATTTTCCTTGGAAATAACACAACCTCATCGACGGATTCTCAAAATTTCATATTTTTCTGCGGGCTCCTTCGACTACTAAAAATCACCAAAGTGGCCTCTTGCAAAATGTCTGTTTCGCTGCGCCTGGCCTCCCTGTTTTGAGAAGACGGCCCTCAACGCCTGGGCCTGAGGGCCCTTTTGCAGTTCACATACCCTCACTTATTTTGGGAGTCCGCTTTCACCTGAGGACCAGTCCAACACCCACCCACTTTTTTTCGGGGTCCGCTTCCACCCGAGGACCGGTCCTTCCTTTTTC